CGCATGAGGGCTCGATCTGGTACCAGCTCCAAACAGCTGCGTCTCGAGAGATGGCGATGTTAGGAAACAATACACTTTTGCATATTGTGCAGTTCAAATCACGGGCGTCTTCGTCTCCCAATCAACCCTGGTCTCTTGGACCAAGTTGTATCTTGGGCAGATGAGATCGACGAAGAATCACAAGCTGACACCCTCGAATTACGCGGGCATCCCAGGCCAAGCTACATGCACTGTTCGCGAAATCAGAAGCCAGGGAAGATAGGATATCGCCTATCCAGACAGCACATGCCAAGTCATTCTATCACGTGTAACGTCAAACATGACATGTACGATAGAAAGCGTCTGAGGCTACAACGTTGCCATGGCTAAGACCACAGACGATGCCAGCCAACTTGACCACTAGACCATTCAATCACAATCAATCTGAATATTTATGAGGTATGCTTGTTGCGAGGACTTTCGAATGCTTCCTTCCAGGCGCCACGCTGGGTAGACGATGGCGCGAGAACGCATAGCTGGAAGCTAGACATCGCGGTGAGGCTCATAGCAGAGGGACTCGACCATACCCTTGCAAGATCTTTCTATCATTCCGTGGGTCAACTCAAAGAAGGCGAGGGCTGCGCAACAAGTGATGGTCACGGGTCCGATACGTTTGCTAAGGGCGAGGACACTACCACTCTTGCACCGACTGAACCACTACATTGTTAGCAGCTAACTTCTGTGTCAAGGGTTTGTCCAGTGTACGTCAATCAGGAAGGAATGTCTCCCGAGCATGTGGACAAGGGGCCGTCCACGTCATATCGTGGCCCGAGACGGCAAATTCCACACCAGGGATGTCGCACTTTGATTCTATATTCGATCGTCGGCTGAGTCAACAGTCTCCCAAAGATTGCCTTCCCATCGAAGAAAAGAAGATGGGAGGAGTCTCAATTTTCTTGCCGCACAGAGCGCGCTGGTAGGTGAAGGCATCTTCTGTCCGTCGAGGCAGCCTCATCACGTGGCGATGCTGCCATGTCGCGTCGCGTCGCGCTTTTGTCGCGTCGAGCCCTGTAGTGACGTCCGTTCGTGATATCGTTTGCGATTTGATTACTCTGTCGCCCAGGGCAGACGCTGGTGTCAGCTCAATCTGCCACTGCCCGCCAGCTGAGCAATTGGCGTCAGTGATTGGCCAATTGGGACCCTCCCCACCCCCTTGTCATTCGGGGGCCGAGCCGTCCCTTGACTGTTCCGGGGCCCCCTTTGGCCTCTTTGGGCAGCATGGGAGTTGGAAGTTGTCTGTCTGACACGGCTGTGGCGTGGGATTCGCGGATACGATGATCCAGGAACAGAGACATGGGAGTATTTGCCTTTCGCTCCTATGCTGATCGGGCCTCAGTCAGTCGTCAGTATTGGAACATGTAGAGGGAATAGGAACAAGGGAAAAGGGAAAAGGGAAAATGGGGAGACCATGACGAGCAGGTAGAGGCAAAGAACTCGGCCATGCAGATGCAAGACGCAGGAGGTGCAGTACAGTCAAGAGATCCAATGGATTGAACCTACCCAGATCCATTTCACCTCGGCGAGGCCCCCACGATGGCATGGAGATGCCTTCAGTGATCTGGCAAAGGGCCACTTCCCTGTATTCTGCACCTCGACACCCCGGACCACCCAACCCAGCCTATCGGAACCGCTAGAGAGGGGGCGGACCAGGCGCTGATTGGGCATGGGAGTCCCCTGTGTCGTCAGCGGGCTAGAGGCGAGACTTGACAACACATACGCCCCCCCTTCTGGCTTCTGGAGAGCCTGATGATTGCCAGATCTCCCAGCCCCCTTCTTTTCGGACATCACAGCCCACCTGAGTATGGGCACAGACACCACCCATCTCCCGCGCTGGACGTCGAGGTGACGGGCGAAGTCGAGGACGACGACGAGGGATGCCGGCCGAAAGGACCCCAAAGTAGGGCTGCGCTAAACAGGTAGTCCCAACTTTGTGTGAGACCAAGGCCATGCTTCTCTCGGCATCTGCCCTCTGGACCCTCTTCGACTGCTCCTCGAATACGGGAACACCATGCCATAGAGAATCGTCGCCAGCAGTGCCTGGACGGCGCAAACCTCCAGCATGGTTAGTCTCCGTCTATGCTGCTGAGGAAGAATGGCGCGCGCTGCCATCATGCAGACCCGCGGAGCAGCTAAAATGAGTCGACCCTGGACTCTGCATCGCCCGTCTGGCCTGCTTCTCGCTCGGGCCAGTCCATCCCCCAAACGGACGTCGAGCGGGCAAGGTGGAGGGGGTTCGTCCTTGTCCACGCGGGCGCACTCGCTGCGGCGCATGAAGCAGAGGTATGCGACGAACTGAAGGGAGGAGGAGGAGGAGGAGGAGGAGCTGGGCTCGAGGACGAAGTGTGTTAAAACCCTAGGATATACCCTTCACCCTTCCTTCCTCCCTGTCTTGCCAACCCTACCTTGCCTTTCTTCCCTGAGGCGTTGACATTCATCCCGGAGGAGCGTTGATTGCATCTCCTCGAGTGTGTTTGCTGGTTTCGGAATTCTGCCCTTTTGCAAGCTCGATCGTGTCCCACAAGTCCCCCTCCCCCCCCCTTTCGCTCGACTCGTTCGACTGTCGCGCATCGTCGCCATGTCGGGTGGATGCATCCCCTGAGAACATCGAAAAGGGACCTTACAGGCTTCAGCTTGAGGCTGCAGCTCCGTGCAGGCAGGTTGCGACAGCCTTGGGTCTTCCATCTCACGTCTTTTTCACCTTCAGCGGGCCAGCATCGCACCAGCAGCCCCCATCCGAATGACGCTCTGAGTCGACAGAGACGACCACTAGGCAGCGATTCGTGAGCTCCTGCCTCCAGTCCATGCCATAACCGGCCAGTCGTCACTGCCGATTGAGCTCTCCAGCGCAGACAGGAAGCACACCTCCGACCGCTCCTTCTCTTGGTTGCTCATTGCTTATTGTGCGCGCAAGCCACGGCAAGCAGTGAGCCACAGCACCTTCCTGCGTAAGGTACCCTGGACATTGGGTAGCGTCTGAATCACCGCGAGGAACGAAAGTACCACCAGACTACCCAGGTGGGCAGTCACCACCCATCCACCCACAAGACACAGAACGGAGAAACGAAAAACACCAGACCTCATCATCGTCAGCTCAACACCGTATCGACATCATTGCACATGGTGCCAACGATGCTTCCGGGCATTCCTTCAGGGCCATATCACATACACATATACATCTGGTCATTGCTTTTCTCACCTGCCACTGCAGCCACGCTGCTGGGCCCCGGGCGCGACGCCATCCTGATTCGCCTAGCCACCCTCTTTTCCCGCAGCACGAGCACCAGCGCCCGCGACGGGCGCTTGGGGACCTCTGACCTTGGATTTTGCAGTTTCCAGCCTCCCATTTTCTCTCGACTTGGCCGACCAGGCTTTTTGCTTCAGACCAAGTCCCAAGTCGACCTCCACCACACCATCATACCGTACCTACCGAACTTGCCTTACCTCTTTCTCCGTTCCTCCCATTCCTCTCGCTCGCTCACCTGCTTGCGCTTTTTCGGCACCAAGCATCTGTCTGGCATTCCCACTGCTACCCAACCCAACCCATTCAACCCCAACCGAGCAAGGCGGCACTTAGCAATCCACCACCCCAGCTTGTGAGTACCATCATCCTGAACTCTGCGCGTGCTTGATGGAATGTGGGCTCCCTATTGTTCAATTGCCCTTCAACCACACCGTGTTGAAACACCCCCACTGACTTGGGCGCCATTCATCCAGAGCTTCTTTTTCCCCATTGTCTGTTTTGGAGCGTTCCTCGCCTCTCCACCTACGAGGTGTTGGTGGTGTCACCCACACCAAAGACGCCGCCGACTTGTCGATCCCACGAGCTCTCCCCGAAACCCTCGCCAAGTTGTCGGGACCAACTCCCCCCGACCATTCTCACGACCGTCACGACATTTACGATTCAACGCCCCCCCCACCTATTGAAGCAGCGTCAGCAGCCGCCCTCGCTCGAGCTCAAGTCAGCGATCCCGATCTCGCCGC